TTAACAATTCCTAAATAACACCAAAGAATCACTTCTTACATTTTCCATGATTTCTCATATCTACATATCTATCTACCTATAATTTATTTGAGTCAGGATTCACTGAGTTTGGACATCAATTGGTTTATCAATAATGTTGACAATATTTGTTGATTCATATGCATCTTAAATCTCTTTCTACCTGTGGATCCTCATCCCTCGCTTATATTTTTCTATAATGTATTTGTTGAAGGATTACGTCCGCTTGGTGTCATTTAACACATTCCTCTGTCCCCTGTAATTCCAGTACAATATGTGTGCGTGTGTGTGTGTGTGTGTGTGTGTGTGTGTGGGGAGGGGGATGCGGATGAGAGTCAGCCAGGTTTTTTGGGCAAATCACCGTATAGATGATGTCTTGGCTCACTACTCTCTGGTGTCCCAGTAACTCTTCATGTTGCTCCTCAGTCAAAAGAATACTTAAAAGTTTACTAGATTAAGTGCCACATTTAAACACCTAGTAACTATGTTCTAATAACCTTGTGGCTTTTAAAAAACTCATATACATAAATTAATTGAAAAAATGTTTTCATTGTATTCTTAACCACAGATTCTTACTAGTCGGGCACAGAACAACTTCTCCCACCTTGGAATCCTATTGAGCACCACTACCTTCATTTCTTCTTTCATCGTGATTTTCACAAGATATTTACTTTTTCATGGTTATGAAACATAAATAAAATTTACTATTTTAACCCTTTTAAAGTGCACAATTTAGTGGCATTAAGAATTCACATGTTACCAGCTGTCATTGCCATCCATTCCAGAACATTTTTTTATTTTAAGATTTATTTATTTATTTATTTATTTATTTATTTATTTATGCAGGCACTGGGTACAGTCAGAAGCGCGGGAGGGTGAGAGAATTCACCAGTCAGAGCGGAGAGTAGAACAGGCAGATGAACTAAAGATACTGCTGAGGGGAGCAGCGGGCGGCAGGAGAGGTCTGCGCGCCATGTGGGACCCTCCTCCGGTGGCCAGCAAGCAGCTGGGGATCGAACCGGCGCTGCAGAGGCTGCGGGCAGCTTTGCAACCCAGCGCTCAACCGCTGCGCCACCGGGGAGGCCCCAGAACATTTTTCATCATCTCAAACTACAATCCCATTAAGAGGTATCTCCCATTCTCCCCCCTTACAGCTCCTGACATCCACTCTTCTACTTCCTGTCTCTAGGAATGGGGTGACTCTTGGTACCTCATCTATGTGGAATAAGACACTATTTTTTTCTTTAGAGTTTGGCTTTTTAAACATGTGGCATGATGTTTTCAAAGTTCATGCTGTAGTATGTGTCAATACTAAATCCCTTTTTGAGGCTGCATACTATTCCATTGCTCACCCAGGCTTCTGCGGATGGACATTTGGGTTGCTGCCTCCTGTTGTCTGTTGTGAGTAATGCTTCTCTGGCCTTGATGCACAGCACCTATTGGGAGTCTGCTTTCATTTTTTTCCCCCTCATCTCTCACTGGTTCTTATGCATATTGCAGCAATATGGGAACCCCAACTGCATAGAGACATGACATCATTAAAAGGAATGTGGCAAGATCTCATGTGCAGCTTGTGTGCACAGTGGCCGGCAGATGTTGAGTTCTGTTTTTTCCTTCAAAAGTAGAAAGTCTCCTGTGGCAGCTGTGTGAGTTCAAGGGGGTGCCCCCATCTTGGTTTGTGTGAAAGTCACAGATACGATACGGTTTGTACTGGCAAAGGCCGTCTGACTTGGGGGGTGCAGTGGAGGCTGGGAACCCAGTCAATGGACTTCGTGGCAATTCAGGGCGAGGTGATGGAGCCAGAGCGTGGCCATGGTGTGGGGTAGTGGGGAAGGGGACTGGATTTGTGAGATGTGGAGTGACCGAGTGTAGGGGCAAGATGGGCACAGAGCAGGTTTTCTTTATGATTAGAGCAGACGGGGATACAGGAGGAGTCCTGGAGCCCTCGGTGGCTTTCTCAGGCTTTTATTGAGCTTTTACATGTAGTGCGGCAACCAGGTACACGGCAGGCAGGGGTGCTGGGGGCAGGAGACCGGTAGGCCGCCAAGTCCCCGGCAAGTGTTCGCTCTGGGCTTCTCCGGCCTTTTTTCTCCCCGTCTCTCTCTCCTGTTCTGACTCCTGCCTCTGCTTCTCCTGGTGACTCTCTCAATACTGCTGCCATGGCCCACGGAAGTAAACAACACAGCTTATAACGATGTTACAAGTGCAGGTGCCCCATCAGGCAGGGCAATCCTAATGGCGGGAGGGCAGAAAAGCCTGAAAACCATTTACTCTATACCAAGTTAGTTCTCCCTAGTACAGGAGTCCTTTTCCAGAGTTCCCAAGACCTGGAGTCCCCAGAAAAGTGTGGGGTGGTGGCTGATTTTGGTCTTGAGAGAGCGGTAGCTCAACCTACCACCAGGACAGCCACAGGGCCACACGCATCACTGTCTTTAATGGTTGGTGGGTGCTGCTGAAATCCTTTCATCTTGGCAGAGTACTTCGACCTCAGCGCTGCGATGACTTGCGTGGCTTCTGAGTTTCTTTAATTTGTCTCCTCTGCGTGGAAAAACAGAATGTTGTCCCCCCGAGAGCAGGGGCTTTCTTTGGGGATGGAGATCCCACTTGTTAGAAAAATCTTGTTCACAGGCTTGGTAGAATTAAAATTCCTCTTCTTGTTATAGATTTGGTTAAAAAAAAAAAAAACAGTCTAGTGTTTCCTCTCATTCTAAATGGATGACTGAAGTTGCCTTGATGGCCAACAGGCAGCATTCAGGCTGAGCCTTCTTTTGTTCCAAGAACTGATGATGGTGGAAAATCACCCTGTGACCTGGGAGTGGTTCTGTGGGGCTCGGGCGACAATCCCCATAGCGGCAGGCATCGGCTGCTTTATCCAGAGGTTGTTCTGGGAAGTCCATCTTCTGTTGTATTCGAGGCTAACACCGGGGGCTAGAAGAGCAGAGCCAGCATCATCTGTGGTGTGAACCCTGTCTGGCACCTACACGCCTCCCGCCTCCTGCATGGAGGTGTCAGTCTCCCTAAGATGACCCTTGAGCAAGACCTTTGCAAAATATCAAGCACCCATTAGGCATATCCTGAGTCAGGGGTCGGGATCGGGAGCTGGCTGCTGCTGTGGAGAACAAGGAACCAGGGGACCAGCCGTCCCGGCTCTCTGTAGGTGGCAGTTGTGACAGTTCCCCACACATCTACGTTCCCACAGCCTCCTGGTGGGAGCAGGGAGTGTGTGCCTGCTAATGGTGTTTATTTGGGAACCACCAGCCCCTCCACTGCATCATGCCACAAAGAGAGGCATTTAGGCTGGAGTGTTCACAATATTTATAGAGAACCTCCTAGGAGCCGGGCTTTGTTCTGCTTTCTGCCAACGCCAGGAGAACAAATAGATATTGTCCCTGCTCACATGGGGCCCACAGCAAAGGAGAGAAGGACATAAAACAACAACCACTGCAGCAAATAACCCCCCGCTCATAAATACGTGACTAAGAACTGTGACCAAATTCATGAGGGGAAAGGAGAGTGTGAAGAGAGATTATAGGGGGCCCCGCAGCAGGGACACCCCTGGGCCGAGCTTGGCCAGCAGGTTAGGCGGGGAAGGCTTTGGCCAATGGAGAAAGTCTGACAGCCGGTGTGTCCGGTTAACAATCGGGGCCAAGAGACTGGAGCTGGAGCCGCGTCCTGCAGGCCTCCACAGCCCACGTCAAAGGTTGACTTCATCTGGGCTGTTATGGAAAGCCCGAGAATCCCCAACAGGACAAAGACGTGGACTACAGGACTGGAAGGGCCAATCTGGATCTGGCCTGGAAGACAGACCAGAGGAGCCAAGTAGGCCCGGGGCCTGTTCGGAGGCCACGGCTGGTGGTGGAAGGTGGGAGAGGTAGGATCGGAAGGAGCTGGGCTGGGCCAGGGAGGCTGAGGGAGAGGACGGAGCCTGCCTTCCCTCACAGGTTTCGAGTAGGGGAGCTGAGTGTACGAGGTCCCGTTTACTGAGAGGACAGGAGTCAGGCCAGGCAGCAACGCAAACTGGTGGCTTAGAAAACAGAAATTGATTTAATTTATTATCTAGAACCTGGAGGTCTGGTGTCAAGGCTAGACTTATCTGGAGTCAAAGTCACTGGGGGAACCTTCTGGCTCCTGGTGGCTCTGATAACTGTGGCCCCAGCACCCCACTCTCTGCCTCCGTCACCACACCATGCTCCCTCGCATCTCGAGGTCTTCCCATGCCTGTCTCCTTATAAGAGCGCCAATCTTGCTGGCGAGGAGTCCCTGCTCCAGGACCACATCATCTTAACTCTTAACTAAGCACATCTGCAACCTCCAAATAAGGGCATATTTGGGGTTCTGGGGTGGGGGCAGGCCTTCAACATGCCTTCTTAGGGGGGTGCAATCCGACCCATAACAGGCATGTGACCTTGGAGTTGCCCTAGGCCTCTGTGTCAATGGGCTTGAATTTTCAGAAATGAGGCCTGGGTGTAGGTGCCCCATGAGAGATGGGGACTTCTGGGGAGAGAATGTTGGGTCGGATGGGAGCAGACCCTGAACTCAGCCCTGGGGACCCTCAGAGGCCAGGAGACCGAAGAAGGAAGAACACAGATCAACTTGTTTCTTTCACCAACTAGAAAGTTTCTGTCTGGGGTGTACCAGGTCTTAAGAATTCTGGATTTTAGAGATTGAATGTATGTTCTACTTACTGTCATTCAAAGTTAGTGATTGATGCAATTTGGGCTCTTGCTATTTAAAAAAAAATCATTAATCCTTTAGTAAAGTGAACACTCCTTTTGTAATGAGCAGAGTCAACTGAACATATTATTTTTCGAGTTTATGATTTCATCTATCGGTGCACCCACTCAGACCTCCCACTGGACCGGCTCCCGGAAGGTAAGGAAGGATACTCTTAGTCGACAGCAGCTGATAATCGAGATGCTCAGGGAAATGAAAATGGACAGTTGTGCCTGGGCCAGAACAGGCATGTTTCCATGACATCTGCCCAGCGGGTGGCACCTCCTCTGGAATGAAATAATGTGATTGCTCAGGATCTTGGCTGTGGTCGAGTGGGTGCCAAGGAAGAAAGGGTAAGGACTTGACACCTGAGTCCAGTGTCCAGGGCTTCAATGGCTTCCCTGGAGCGGACTTAGCATCCCTGAACTACGGACAGGGAAGCACTGAGAGATGATTTATCTGAGTTTGCACAGTCGACTTGAGCTTTTTTTTTTCTTCTTTGAGTTTGCCTTGAATAGGATCTATCCAACCATGTTTAGGAGGCACAGTGGCTAAGGGCTGTAGAGCAAACAGTGTTCTCGCCCCGGAGAGCAGGAAGGGTGGATGGCTGGGGGCCTAGAGAATCATCTGGGGGTCTCTGGATCTTTAATCTGAAAACATATGCCAAGCACATCACTAAGTCTGCAGAACCACAGTCTCACCACTGGGTAAGGGAGAGATTCTTGTTTGGGGAAACTTCCCTGGGTGGTTTTGATGTTTTCTCTCCTCCCCAAATACACCCTCCAACTCTTTTCAACCAGGATGGTCTCTGCTGACCCCTAGTGCAGGAGGAGACAGGCCCAGGGGAATTGCCCTTCCTTTGACCTTGATTAAGCTCTGGTGATGTCTCCAAGTGTCTGAAACTTTAACCTAAGAGCAACAAAACCCTGATTTCCTATGTGAAGCATGTGACCTGGGGTGGTGGTGGTAGCATGGCCTTCACTTCAGCAGAGTTTGGTCGTTTGAGCAGAACTGGGGGTAGTGGGCAGAGATGTGGAGATCTGGCTTGAGTCCCAGCTCTATTGGCCATTTCTTTGGGGCTCACTTTCCACATCTAGACATGGGAATATCTTTCTCCTAAAGCTGAGCTCAACCATTATGAGCTAATGAGCCTCCATTATGGAATAATAGAAAACACATCTTGCTAGGGCAACCTGCTCATCTGGTTTAAACCTAGACAACCATTGCCCAGAGATACCTTCTGCCCCAATCGCACTGGGATAGTTGGCCATTCCATGCTTGGAACAAGTGAGATGCTCAATAAAAAAGATGAATCAACTCCCTTGTCATCTTCCCTTAAATCACAGCATGTTGGTATACCTACCTTAGAGCCAGCTCTCCTAGGAGTAAAGCAAGGGAAGTCTCCCGTGTCCTCACCAGGGGAAGATGATGCTCTTGGGATGGTCTTGATTTGTTGAAATGGCAACTCTGTGAATCCTGCCTCTGATCTGGACCAGATTTTGCCAAAACGCCTTTGAGACAGTTGTCCAGCATTTGCAAAATTGCTCATCAGAGTTAGTGGGCCGACAACGGGCAGAGTGTAGCTCACGGGCTGTTGGGGAAATGACCTTTCAGATGGGCCAGTAACGTGGTTTCTTTTCATTTTATGGGTGAGCCGGGCAAGGCACAGAGCTTCTAGCATCTAAAACCTCTGGGTAACAGGAGCCGAGGCAGGCTGACAATCCCCTAGGAAAGATTCCCAGTCCTGTACACGGAAATGCAGCGCTCCCCAGGAGCAATCTACATACAGAATTAAGCTCCTGAAACTGTGCTAAATTATTTGATTTAAATACTGGTCTATCTGGGGATGAAGACCTAGGCAATGTAGATTCCCATTAATAATGAATGATTTGCTGTATTCTAATCCTGTTAAGCATACAGCTCCTCTGCAAATGTATTAGTGGTGATGTGTGTTTGTGAATTAAGCCCTTGGTGTATCAGGTTTATGAGCCTAATTGTCTATTCAAAAGGCTATCACTTTATCACGTCATGAAAATTAAAAAGGTCCCTTTTTATTGGAGTGTTTTCTTAATCCTCCAAACGATATTTTCTCTTTCTTTCTCATTTTCCTTTTATTGAGCTTTATTAGGATTTAAATGCAACTGAAGCAAATCCTGCTGTTCCACTGAAATTGATTATTAAAATAACACTGATAATTATACATAGGTACTGGAAAATAACACATATGGTGTGCTTGCAGGGAGATTAAGCATCCCCTCCCTCAAATTATGCTAATGTTGATGCAGGGCACTAAAAATAGTAGAAGCGTACAATTTATCTGAGAGATGGGTTAAAGATTTAGTGACTGTTCTACCTCTAGGAAGTTTGAGTGATTTCTGCTAAAATTATCATCCAGATCCCAAGATGACATCGTGCTAGAAGGCAAGAGCAATTCATTTGAAGATGTCTGAACACCAGGCACTTAGACGGCTGGCAAGACTTTCCTGTTTGACTCCTTTATTCATTTTCTTCCAACTTGGCCTTTTTCTTTTTGGAAGAAAAAGATCCTTTCAGTTTAAAAAAGAATTTGGTGCCTGGTCTCAGTTGCTAAATAGTACTTGGCGGAAAGTTTTAGTTAAATTCTGCTTAGCTGTATTTGAACATGCAAAGAATTCATCTATCTTTTTTGAAAATTAAAAAATAACCTTTTAGGATGTGTGTAGCAAACTCAAAAGTATGTCTGTTTTTCAACTTCAGCTAAGGACTTGTAACTGCTTTGTTTGAAGATATTGGCTTTTGAAACACGAAGTTTGGGGAGTTGAGAAAGTGTCCGCCCGTGCACAGGCAAGCTCCCTGGAGATGCTCTGTCTGTCCAGTAAGCCCACGTCTGTGTGTTCTCTGGGTGGACAGAGGGCCCGGTGGCTGTTCGAGTATAGAGTAGGCCAGCAGATGACCCACGAGATGCATCCATCCAGGAATGGGGCTGGTTTTACCAACCAGTAGTCGGGTAGATGCTCTTCCTTTCAAAATTATTTTAGACTCACTCTAAAATAATGGACTAGACATGTCTTCCAATGGACTCCAGTTGGAGTGAGAGTCCTAGACTCGAGCCCTGGAAGAAGCCATCTAGGACAGAGTATGGTCTGGATGTCTTTATTGTGTGACAGCTGTTTTCCCTGGGAAATTGATTTGGTGTTTGGAAGTTACCAAGTCCAGGTAGAGTCAAAGTTGATAAGGGGATTCCCGGAAGCAGAGCGCTATTGACTCTGTCCATCTAAAGTTTGTTTCCTTCTTTTTATTCTGCTCCCTACCTTTCCTTTGGGGAAATCATCCTTCCAAGACTTGGTCCACAGGATGGGATAGGTCTGACTACCTTATGCTCCAGGAACTGCAGACACCCCAACATTAGCCAATCAGCAAACTTGTTCCTCTTCTCCATAGCAATTGTTCAGGAGTGACATGACCCCAGCAAGCTGCAGAGGAGGCCCGCTGCTCTGCATCTCAGAGCCAGGGGCGTGTACCGAGTCCTGTCTCCCTGAGGAGCTCTCTGACTTCTCTTAGCTGCATCTCTCCAGCCTACTTTGTGTCACATCTCTGACTCCAACCAGAGAAGATTCCAACCTTCCAGAGAAGGTTCTCTGCTTTTAAGGGCTTATGTGATTAGATTGGACCCACCGGATCATCCGGATAATCTCCCTATCTGCTGGTCTGAAACCTTAATCACCTCTGCAGTCGCTTTTGTCATTAACAGGTTCTTTGCTGGGGTGGGAGTGGGGGGACATTATTCTGTCCGCAAGAGAATCTCATCCCAGTCCCTTGGAATGCAGATAGGATGTGACACAATCACAGGAAGGTCTGTCTGGGCACCTCTGCTGTTTGTTGGTGCCTGCAGCCAGGCACAGCTCCTGCCAGCACAGGAGGGGAGGGGATACACACTTTTGTAACACAAATCTACACATCTCTGTATGGGAAAGAGATGAGAGCGCTACCTGTACCCCTTCCAGTGTACCTGGGGCCCAATTCTGGGTGTTAGCAGAAGCTGGGTGGATGGGGACATTGGTGGCCTTGAGACCAGTGCTATTGTGAGGGAGGGAGGAGGCATGCTTTCTTCCAGGCTTACTGGAATATTCTTTCCCCACCCTTTGTCAGGCCCAGACAACATTCTCTGGCCTCTCTCTTGTCCTATTAATTATTGTTTCTCCCCATCTGTGTATGGGTTATGTTGGAAATGTTGAGGTTTTCCATGAGGTGGTCTGGCCAGCTTTCCCTTTACATGATGCACTTGCAGAATTGATTGTTTGGGTGGAGAAGAGTGAGCCTGGGGTCTAGGAGGAAGAGTGATTTCGTGCCTGAGGAGGGCTGTGGCCAAGGACATATACTGTTCCCCTCCAGGTTCATGCCTAGGACAGACTTTTTTTTTTATTAACTGCTGTTTGTCAATGCTTTTATATATACACTTCACGTGGATACAAAGCTACAAATGCCATATATATATATATATATATATATATATATGTATGTGTATATATATATACATACATATCTCTCATATCTGTGTGTTTTATATACTGTGGATATTCTGCAATTTTCACTTCTTTTTCTGCAGTGTCTGCAGAATTCTGTGCTATTATCAAACTCATCCCCCCCCACCCTTATAGCCCCTTGGCCCTTCTGCCTCCCCCTCCCTGTTAGCCTCAGAAACTTCACGTTGCTTATTTGTGTCCACTAGTTTTTATAAGTTTTTCACTTTGCTGAATCGTCACTGTAAATGTCCTTCGTGTCACATAATTAAGGGCAGATGCTTGGCCACTGGAGCCCATGAGTGGGTGGAGGTCCTGCAGGGGGTGATGCAGGGAGGGTGGTGGTGTCCTTCCTTATGGCATTCCCCACAAAGTTTGTGCTGACAGTTCTCTTATCTTGACTTCCTTCTCATTTTCAACATTCTTCTGTTTTGCCAAAAATCATTTGTGAATTAAGATACTCTCACTGACATTCCTAACTATTCGCCAGGCACCAGAGACATGGTCCCTTGTAGGTACGAGTGAGCCCGTCTTCCTGAGATAATAGCTTGGCTATGTTCTCAGTTGCTGAAAACTGGGTTCTTTGTTCAGCAGAGTTTTATCACAACCACAGCCAGAAAGAATACAAAATACCATTAAATATCAGAATACAAAAGTGTTTCCTGGATTTATATTTTTCAACAGAACATAATTATGTTCCTCCCCAAAATAGTGATACTTATTTTGTATCTTTTCTGAAATAGACTGTTCTGCATTCTGTCTTATCTAGAAAACAACCCATTTCTGTCTTCTGGGCCATTTGCTTCATCTAAACGATCTACTGTATTTAGGCTCTCCCGGAGTTTTGTACTGTATGTGAGCAAACGTGTGTGTGTGTGTGTGTGTGTGTGTGTGTGTGGGTGTCCATGGATATATGTAGTTATCGAGGGTAATATTTATGGTGGAGGTCCAGAAATGGACCCTGTTTAAATGAGTTTCATAACATATTCAAATGTTGCTACTCACTGTCAATTTTGGGGAGCAGAGGGTATTCTAAACCCTGAAGTAGTGGCTGTCATTTTGCGTTTTCACTTAGCAAATAGTGCTGCAAACATCTCCCTATCTCTAATAAGGTACAGGTTGACCCATCTCCTATGTGAGGAAAAGCGACACGAACTACACACACACGGGCTTTGGTGTTGGCTTCTGTGAACTTGTTGGGGGTCAGTCCCGAATGTCTAACTGATGATGAAACCCAAAGGCAGAAGAGGTAAACGTGATGTGAGGCCTTGGACTCGGGGCCTTCAGGGGCAGATTCTTTCTGAGCTGTATTTCACCAGCTTGGAGAATCAGAGATTTTGATAGAAAAGAATGAGCACTCTAAAAGAATCCTTTAATAAATGAAGACATTTCAGTGTCTTATTTTGGTCCTCTGACAGAGCCATTTCATCCACGTATCCAAGCTTTCACCTTCCTCTCCACATCATTCTTTAGAGAGCTTGCTTTATATCATTCTCCAGCTCCTGCGCGCCGAGATCAGATCACCTCCTTCCCCCGTTTGACCTGAATTGTCCTCGTCCCTGCTCCTACGTGCTCCTCTCTCTTGCTGTGAAGACTGGTATGTGGAAGAGAAACTCAATCTGGCCAGTGGTGACTTTTGGCCAAGGCCCCGAATGTTCCCAAGTAGAGGCAGTGCAGACAGCGCCAAGTGGATGACGTCTGTGCTGCTCAATTTCTATTAAGATGCATTTGCTGACTTATTAGTAAATAGCCAGGTGCCCCAGAGCTGGGTAGAGTGAATTCAGGGGGCGGGGGGCTCCCCAGTGTGCTCAGCTGCCCCTTGCACATTGCCTAATGTCCTGGGCTCTGCAAAACATTCGAAAAATTAACACGCTCACCAAATATGTTTTTCTTGCTCATTAACTTGATCAAGTCCACTGGTTTTTTAGAATCACAGCAGCAAGTTGTAAATGATGTATGAAATGAAAAATCTCTTCTCGCCCAGTGAGCAGGGAGAGAGAACTGACAATGCTTTCTCACTGTGGCTGCTTGAATCACATCTAAACGCAGAGACAAACTCAGACACCAGCGGTGACCTCAGAAGGCATCGGGGAGGAGCATGAGGTGAGCTAATGCACAGACCCTGGCCTGCCAGGGTCCCTCCTCCTGCTTCACTCCTGCCCTGCTCCACTGGGGGCTACAGAGAACGAGGCTGAAAGAAATCCAGCAGGCCACCCAGTTCTTGGCCATCTGAGAACAGGGATGACTGGATTCTGTTTAGAAGTTGGGGCCACACTTCTGGGGCTGCTGGCGTTCAAGGCTCTGCCCTTGGCTTCCAGGTCAGGGTCTCTGACTTGGCTTGTGTCATTCGGTAGCGCTCAGCTGCAACGTGTCCTTCAGCTGCTGCGGTTCATTCACTTGCTAAACTAGCATCTGTTTGCAGACTCATGTACCCAGAACTGGGCCAGACATTGTGGAGGACAAAATAAATATAAAATATAAATATATAAAATACAAAAACCCAGCCACTGCCTTAAACTGCTGATAGGTTGAAAAATGGGGCTTTTACTTAATTAATATTTCTCCCCCAAATGGAATAATTTTTATTCTTGTTGCCTGGCCGTGTTCTCACAATGATTCAAATAGAATAATTGGCAATGTATCGTATTTTTATTGCCTTCTATAAATATGTTTACCCACTTTTGTAAATAGTACACATTCATTGGAAAAAATGAGGGAAGACTAAAAATGAGGGAGAACAGTTTTTTACTGGATTTGTCTCATGGGGCGTGGACCACCATTAACCAGACTCAAAGAGGCTGATGTGTAGATCAGAATACTGACATTGTTTTGAAATGTGTTTTTGAGCTGGGAAGGTGCATAATAATCAGAAGGTTGCAGATGATCATGGATTTCTAACAAGGGGCCTGGTGAAAGAATTTGAATGCTTGCTGCCACCAGACTCAGAATGAATTCCTGTCATCTTTTTAGAAGAGAGGGCCTGCCCCTGTGGCTGGCTGCTGTTTTCCTGAACCAGACAGCTAGCTGCCCCCGTCAGTCAAGCCTGGATGCTCTTCGTCCTCTGTTTCGTGGTTGTTCAATCCCTCCTAGCTGCTGTGTTCTCTTTTTAGATATTTGACCTCATCTGCCAGGTTACTATCCTGTTTAACAAGCCTCTGGGTCTTCCTCTAATTTTGAGGGGCTTTGGTCTCATAGCTATCAATTTTATAGTTCAACTGCAAGGGGCAATTTTGTCTCCAAACTGGTGTGCCTCATTTCATCCCGATTACCCTCTCTGCATAGTAATGGCCGTGACTCACTCACGGTGCATTGATAGAGCAGCCTACATCAGGTTTGGAGCCTAGAAGTCCATCGGCAGCAGGAAACCAGTGCATCAGCCCCTCGATGAGTAATCACTGTGAGTTGTAAGTCTGGCTTTGGTATGGGTTTCAGGTGAATTTCTGGGAGATGATCTTCATCCAAGTCATCCAGCTGCTTTAATAATAACCATTGAGTGGCCTGGGGTTCATGAGTGTCCATGTGTCAATGTCTTTTTGGCAGAAGATGCAGCACGTGTTTCTGGACCACAGCTTGGCTATCCTGATCTTTGGTCCATCTTAATGTCCCTCAAGGCTGCTCATGGTGCCAGCCTGTGCCCTCTGGCTGGATGCATAGCTGAAATTACTTCACTGATGGGGCCAAGGTCAATTTTGATGGTGCTATATACATACACTCTGACTCCTCTTATAAAAATAATGCCAATAGATCAAAAACGTCTCCTACAAGTTTTGTCAATGCATTGAAGGAAGACCAAAAAATGGTGACATTTTAGGGCAAGAGAACCACTGTTGATGTGAGTAAATGCTAAGAAGGCTTTAATCTGGGAATTAGGTGTAACCACATTTGCAGAAGATAGAAGTTCTACATTTCAATAGTCATGGAAATTCCTCCACTATTTTCTGACTCCCCCCATTTCCCTAATGCTTTGTAATCAATCCCATTTCGCACAAAGATGAGCCTGAATCCATGCAGACATGTACATAGTTATGACCTCGGAAATAACATTTTTAGACAATAAAAATCTGGATCATTCCTAAGATGAAGTTATCTTGGAAGCCATAGAACACTTGCAGCTCAGAAGCCCCACTCATGTGGAGGATTTCACAGTGACAGGTGGGGAGGTTTGGGGCAGTAGAATGGGGGCAGAAGACAGGTGATCTGGTTGGTGGTGGCTGACAAGCCCCCTTAACAAGTTAAATGCTCAGTAAAGGAGATGGACCTCACTTATAGCCCCTCTAGAACTACGTGAAGAGGGGGATTGAAGATGAGCTATAGCAGCTATAGAGTTTGGCAGAATGAATATAAAACAACAGTGGCATGTCCGCTGTAGAAAGATCTTAGATCTGACCAGGGATTCCTCCTGAAGAAAAAGTCTACAATGTTAAAGACACCTGCTGTCCCTGGAAAGGGCTTACTCTCGACTTCATTTCCCTCTTAAAGAAATTCTGATCGTAAAATGACTTGTGAGTCACTTTCTGCTAGACTCCCTCTGCCTCTTTTGACTTGGTCACCCTGAGAAAAGCGTGTTGGGTCTTGCTGTTTACCTATCTTGACAAACTCAGCCTCTGACATGATGCATATAGATCCAGCTGTAAGGACTTTCGAATGAAAAGTCAGCATCTTCCCTGTTCAGTGGAATATTCACTTCAAGGCAAACTCACCACTCAGCCTGAATTTAAATGATGCTGCCTGAATGCAAGTTGTAGTTTGGAAGTCAGTTCACTGCGGAATGTTCCGGAATCAAAGGGGATATTGCCCCTTAAATTGTGAGGGTGTCAGACATGCCCCCCCCAACCCCCAGCAGGACCCTAGTGATGACAAAGGATAAAATCCACACATACGTTTAAGATGCTTACCGAACCTTGAGCTTCTAGAAAACCTTTCTTCTAGGAACTCAAAAGCTTCATAAGCATTACCGCAGGGACCTCATGGGTTGGAGGGCGGGGTTTCCCTCTAGATGGCCAGGTTCACTTCTTTGCCTCCAGGCAGGTTCCAGCCTCTTCTCCTGCCTTCTCCCAGGGAAGGGAACTCACAGCCTCTATGAGCCCAACTAATAATGAGATTCCACCCGTTACCCTTGAATTCTAGGTTCTCTCTTCAGAAGAGTCTAACAGTCTGATCACAATTGACAGACTCAGGCTGTTTCAAAGCACCTTCTCAGTCTGCTTTCCCCAAGTCCTACAAACCATTTTTCTCAGGTCCTACTTGGGGGAAACGTATGTTGTGGGGCTTAGGAGCCTGGCATCTGAAGCTCAGCAGACACCAGTTTGAGCCTCAGTTCCAATATTTCCTGGCTGTGATTTGGGGAAATTTCTTGGCCTATTTAAGCATTGGTTTCTTCATCTGTAAAATGGAGATAGTACAGACCCAATTCGCTGGGTCATGGTGAGAATTAAAAGAGATGACAAAGAGTTTACGTCACGCTGGGCACAAAGCTATTTGCTCCACGGCATAATCTGAAGGCCCTGTGTTCTTTATATCCCAGAACAGATGGTTTTTGAGCAGCTGTGTAAGAGTTCTGTTTTGTCAAGGCGGTGAGGGGGGTGGGGGGGTGGGGGGCGCTGTGGCTGGCTCCGGCTTCCCAGGGTCCTGATTTCTTTCCACATGGTTGATGTTCTTGCCATAACAGTTGTCAAAGACTTAGAAATGAGTGAATTTTAAGTCCAGCTGGGAACAGAACAGAAAGAAAACATCATCACCTTGAAGACATCGTGCCGAGTGAAACAGGCCCAATCACAAAAGGACAGATACTCTACAATTCCACTCACATGAGGCACCCATTTGTCAAATTTACAGGAGACGAAGCAGGAGCGGGGGCTGCTGGGATGGGGCCTGGGAACGAAGAACGATTGTTCAGTGGGTGGGGTTTCAATGTGGGAAGATGAGAAAGTCCTGGAGGTGGATGTTGTGAGGGCTACACGGCCCTGGGAGGGTCCCTGGGGTGCTGCCTCGGCAGCTGGACGTGGTGGGAATGGGCAGCCTGATGTTACTACAATAAAGTGGTGAATCATTTCATTTCTGCAAACAGAAACTCTGACACAGCAAATGATCAGCCCTTTATTTAACAGGGGCATATTTCACACAGTGAGCGTTCGTCCCACCAAACAAACAAGGGCCTTGTTCTTTGTTGGGGCATGTGATGAAGTGGTGAAGACCAGCCTCTGGCCAGTTTGGCTGGAAACAGGGAGTACTCAGAGGGAGGGAAGGCGATGGGTAGACTGGCTCTGAGGAGCATCTATGCTCCCTGAGGAAGCGGCTGTGCTCCCTGAGGAATGCAGAGGGGCAATCTTGGTTGGGGAATGAGGAGCGTGTGAGGGGCAGCTTGGCTGGAGCAGATCTGCTGTGGGAGGGATGAGAAGCCTGTTGGGGGAAGGGGCCGCTCCCAAGGCCTGGGCGAGCTGTCTCAGAGCAGGGCAATCAAGTGGGAAAATGAGAGGTTTTCGGGGGGTCTCAAAAGGTGGGCAGGCGGCCTGAGAAGCAAATCCATGAGGAACAGTCTTAAACTGGAGAAAGGAGGTCCAGGTGAGGAGACAGTTGTCAGTGGCGGGGTGGAGCTGCAGGAGGGAAGCGGCCTCGGAGGGCCTGTCTCTTTTCTCTGTGGCCACGCGGTTTGTTAGGACACGAGCAACTCCCCTCCTAGAAGGGCTCCTGCCCTGCTTTGATGTCTGCATCTCCAGGAGCCCCCTGGACGGCCTCCAGCTCTCCCTCAGCCACATCTCCTTCCCACTCCCCCAGCTTCTTATTTGCCGCACGTCGTAGACACACACACTTGAGATCCTTCTGTGGTTCTGGCCTCCTGCCTGTCCCTCGAGCTCCAGGTTGCAGACATCACATTATTCTGCTTTTTTCTTTTGAGAGGCCTGGTGACAAGGTCCAGTGTTATGGGGACTAAGGGCAGGGAGAACTTAAAAGGAACCGGTCACCTTGGCACTGAGGTTATGACTGGCAATTCTTCAGAGACTGTTTATAGCATGAGGAAAGGCACGTGTCTAAGACGTTAGGTGAGTAGGGGGATTGGCAGGCAGGATGTGGCCGAGTGGACACCCACACACATGGACTTTTGATGGGATGTTTGCTCGTTTTCAGGGTACTTCTCTTTGAAGATCACAGCCTGGCATGCTGGCTTCCCCCCTAATTCCTTCGTGTTCCTGGGTGGAGGGAGGTGTGGGTCGGGAGAGCTCTGAATTCCCAATCCACCTGTAGCTGCTGGTGCCCCCTGAACTTCCCACCAGCATGGGGACATCTGGGTTACGTGTCCAATTTGATGCAGATACAAAGAATAACAATGCAATTTCCCACCTCCGTCTTCTTTTGTCGAGATTATTCAACAACTTGGATTAAATCATTGATGAATGTTAAAGCATTTTCGAGCTCGTTATTTTTTTTAGCCCATTGTTATCAAAGCCACAACTGTTAACAACCTAAAAAAAAGGAAAGAAAAAGAGGGAAAATGTGATGTTCCCTGTAATGAGATTCTCATGTGCCTGGATGAGGTCTTGGCGCCCAGGTCCCATGGACCGCATGCAAGTCCACTCTCCTGCTCTCTTCCTGGTGACTCCCAGTGGCTCTGGGGCTCCCCCGCCTGTGGCTGCTCAGGTTCTTCCTTTAGCTTCTTTGCTTTGGTTCTTCTTTAGCTTCTGGCCACTCTGTTCCGCCCTCTGCTGTTGGTCTCTCTCATAGACCTGCAGGTCTGGTCATAGCCGAGGGAAGACCACCCTCTGGGTGGGCCCTGCTTGTTTTTCTCTGGGAAGAAGGAGGTTAGGATGTGTGGAATTCAATCTGTTGCAGATGTGATATCATTTTACAGAACAAAGAAAACAAAGCATGATCAGATTGTAGAACGCGCCAGCTTGAAACTGTTCTCAGCGACTCTTTCTTCTCTCCACCAAATCCTTCTTTCTGTTCACTCCAACCCACTATCCACTCCCCAGCTCCATCCATCGAGAGGCCCTGTCTCATTGCTGACCCTCTGCAGGCAGCCCCTCCACTCCCACTGCCACCCGTCAGGTGTACAAAGCGTGGGAGACCAGTGTCAAAGACAGACACCCCATGGGAGCTTGGCCATGCAACCAGACTGAGTGGGCAAGCTGGTGAAGCCAACTTGTGCTTCAAAAAGAATGTCACAGCAGTTTATGGGAAAAGGAGCAGAATCTGGGGTCCCAGCAAGAGAGATCATCCAGACCTGGATGATCTGGAAGCCCCAGGAAGGGTTTCCAAAAGTTCTAGCCCTCCGAGGTCACTGGTGAATTATTATAAAGGGTTTTGGAATCCCTACCAGATGCTGCCTATAGAATGAACAAACATTTCATGGAGGACTTTTTCAAATGGATTTATATTGACATTGTGACTAACAGCATGCACATTTCCATGAAAGTATCACTGAGTTCAAAGTCTTTTTTTTTTTAATTTCGGTGTATCCTTTTTTCTAATGTTTGCGTATTTTCTCAAACAATGGTTCCTAAGATGATGATTTCCAAGTGAGTATCCTCAAATTGTCAGTAAATATAGGTTCCACATGGTGATATTTCTTTTATTTTTCATTACAACACCATATCTGCCTCTGTAAAAGTCCAGCCCACACCTACTGTGGGCCCTTCTATCTCCATCACTTCCCCTGTTGAATGGTGTTTATAATACCAGAGTCATCATATTGTTAAATCACACACACACACACACACACACACACACACACACAGAGTTATAAATGTGCTTCACAACTCTTGAATGCTTGAGTGCAAGAAATGTGTGAGCTTCCTTTTTAGAAAAAACCCTGAACGAAACCAAACAGATTCAGCACTAGCGGAGCCATTGTCAGCTGCAGTGTGGGGCCACTCAGTGGTGCCACCCAGGACTGTGCTTACTGCTCAAGTTTAACAAGGGCTCCTGGTAGTTTTAACACAGATGTTGGTTGATATTTTCATTTTCATTGAAGAGTTGTGTGAAAGTGAAATAATGAAAATATGTTTTCAGAACTCAGTTTTCAGCCTCACCAGATGTGAGTATCTTCCTTACTGAATTGGATAATAGTTTTGATACTGGAACACTCTCTAATTTTTTTTGTCCTGCTCAAACATAACTACAGACCATAGACAGAGCACATGTTTACATTTAAGCTGCATTATTAATATTTTCTCCATCTCTTCCTTCTGTGTAGACCCAGGGTCAGCAAAACTTTTGTGTACAGGACCAGACAGAAAATGTGTTAGACTTTGTAAGGCACACAGTGTCTGTCTCAGCTCCTTAGCTCCGCTGTTAGGGAGAGAAAGCCGGAAATGCAGCTAGAGCAGTCAGATGATGCTTAAGTGAATGGGCATGTCTGTGTTCTCATAAAACATGACTTCCAAAAACAGGTGGTAGCTACGCTTGGCCTGTGGGTCACAGTTTGCTGACAGCTACTCTAGGTCAAGCCCTGATCTGTAGGGTTTGCCCATTCCTATAGTGTAAACACTCCCATAAAGGCTGAGATGAAGTGACATCACTTCAGGCAGAGTAGGGGAGAGATGTGCACCCTCCCACCCCATGGTGGTAGATGGATAGAATTTCCACCATCAATTGGAGCGAAGGTCAATGGTACCAAGAGCAGTTACCATAGTAATGTAGGATGGAGACTAACATTTGGGAAGTAGTGAGTTTTGGGTATATTCTGCTTTTGAGTACTTATTTTTGTTTAATTTATTTAATTGTATGTTTATGTGATTTACTTTTTAATAATGACTGTGTTTAACAACTAGCTCACAAAATCCCTGAACCTTTAGCAACTGACTCTTGTGAGCCAGAAGGTGGGCCGCCCAGAGAGTCCTGGTTGTGTTCCCCCATCATATGATCAAACGAACATCCCAGCCACACCACACCAGATGCCAGAAAACAGAGGGAGCTCT